ATCTTATTTTAAGATGGAAAGAGTATACAGAATCATTGTACCAAAAGGAATTGGTGGACATAGAAGAATTTCATGAAACAATGTATAAGCAGGAGCCTGTGGTGATGAAGGAGGAAGTTCAAGCTGTTCTGAAAGAATTGGCAAAAAACAAGCCCCCAGGAATTTATGGCATACAGATTTACATATTTCAACAAACAGATGCTGCCCTGGATGTGCTTATCAAGTTGTGCCAAGAAATCTGGAGGACAACCACCTGGCCTACTGACTGGAAGAGATCTATATTTGTTTCCATTCCAAAGAAAGATGATCTGGCAGAGTGTGGAAATTATCAAACAATATCATTGATAGCACATGCAAGCAAGATTCTGCTGAAGATCATCTACAAATGACTGGAACAGCCCATCAACAGAGAACTACCTGAAATGCAGCTGGATTTAGAAGAGGCTCTGGCACTACGGATATTATAGCTAATGATAGATGGATCTTGGCTGAAAGCAGGGAATACCAGAGGAATGTCTATTTGTGTTTCATTGACTATCCAAAGGCATTTGACTGAGTGGATCGCAACAAACTGTGGCCAACTCTGAGAAGAATGGGAATCTCAGAATACTTGAGCGTGCTTATAGGGAAACTTATACTTGGACCAGGAGGCAGTTGTCAGAAGAGAGCATGGTTAAACACTGCATGGTTCAAAATTGGGAAGGATGTACATCAACGATGTGTCCTATCTCCATATCTTTTCATTCTATATTTGGCTTAGTGAAGTATTTAATAAAATCATAAAATGAGCCATAAAGGGAATGGGAGTGGGGAGGGGACTTCATTGGATGACCTTTCGGCCACTTCCGCTCCCAGTGTCACATGAAGGGGGTTCTCCACTGGCCATAGGAGAGGTACCATACATAGGATGGGAAAATCACAGTCAGGGCTGTAAGGGGACAGGGAGGAAGAGGAGGAGGGGACAGACAGAAGAGCTCACTGTGCAAAGGACTGGCGCTTCACATCCAGGCAGAGTCATTCCCAATTTTGCTATTCATGACTTTGCGACTTGGAATAGCTTCATTAGCCTATTTCCTTATCTTTAAGAGAGGGTGACAAGGTTGGGCTTGAAATGACACTGTGGAGTGACAACAGAAGATATGGATACTCATGCTCAATGCAATGCTTATAACTCAGCATCTGATTCATCAACTTAAGATGCTGTCAATTATAAGATGATAATCATCTTATTAATTACTATATACTAAATGATGACTGTCATCAACTAGAGCCCTCCCCAGTGGCACAAATAGTTAATTGCTTTGAAATCATCTAAGAAAGTCTGGCAATCTGCTTCTGAAAGGTCACAGATCAAGTGTAGCTTTGTTCTCTGACACGTGAGACTGTGCAAGGTGGACCTGACTCTAGGGCAATTGGTTTGCCCTTTTTATTTTATTTATTTATTTTTAAGGTGGGGGTTTGCTATCAATTGTAAAATGGACTCCAATATTAGAGATGTTACATGGGGAAAAAGCAAGTGCTCTGGATGTACGAAGAGACTGAAATTTTCAAAAGCTTCATCTTGCTTGGATTCACAATTAACACCCTTGTTACAAGCAGTCAGGAAATAAGGAGATGCACTGCACTGGGGAAATCTGCAGCTAGGGACTTTCCCAAATTATTGAGAAATAGTGATGTCAGTTTGATTACTAAGGTGCATCTGATTCAGGCTATAGTCTTTCCAAGTACTAGCTATGCATCTGAGGCATGGATAATGAGTAAGGATGTCAGAAAAAGAATTGATGCCTTTGAGTTGTGTTGGAGAAGAGCACTCAACATCCCATTGATGGCCAAGAGAACAAACAGATAGGTCTTGGAGAGAGTGCAGCCAGAGTGCACTTTGGAGGCATATTGCCAGGAAGTGCTATTCCTTGGAGGGGGACTTGATGTTGGGAAGGGTGGAGGGTCACTGAAGAAGAGGAAGACCCTCAACCAGGTGGGTTGACAAGGTGACTGCTGCAGTGTCACAAAATGTGAGGATGGTGCAGGACAGGATTGATTTCAGATCTTTTTTTCATAGGGTTGCTATGAGTTGTACTCAACTCGATGGCACCTAACAACATAACAACAACAACAACTGGAATGGTGAAATTTAGCAAGTACTCAATAAAAATGAGGGCTGTTCCCTATTGAAGCACCTCTGACCTCACATGGAAATTCCATCCTGGGCAAGGGAGTAAGGAGTCCTGACTCTGGCAAGAAATGTGAATCATGTTCTTCAAATTAACTTCATCTGCAGGGAGGTATCTATTCCTCATTTGAATGCAAATAGAGGAGAAATACTATGAGTAAATACGAATGAGTAAAAGATACCTTTATAGTTCAGCAGTAAAGACACTGAAATTTGAACATCTTACTGAGCCCAGAATTCACCCACTTCACCTCTTTACAGACTTTATTGAGCCAAGGTGGAAAACCCAAGAAACTGCTTCAGTCTTTTCTATGACAAGGACAGGAAGTGAGCACCTCATGCACCCTAAGAACTAGTTAGAGAGCATCTGGATTCAAATCCCATTACTGTTACCAGTGTGATCCTTCTTGGTGCCCTGGAGAAGGCTTTTTATGGAGTGAATCTTGGCTACCTCAGATGAAAATATGGGAAACAGCACAACTTGTCTTACAGGTATGCTGAGAAGAAAGATATTTGAGTGTGAGGACAGCTGGTGTCTCTTTAAGGAATACAAAAATTGTTCAGTGTTGTTAGCTGCCATCGAGTCAGTTCCCCATGTGCAACAAAACAAAGTGCTGCCCCTGACTGGGCCATCTACAGGACCTTCAGGGGTTGGTCCCACTGACACATATCTAGCATCACCATGACATGCAAACCTCCATTAAAGGACAGGTGGGGCCAGTGCTGAGGCAGCCAGGCAGGAACAGACAGCAGTGTCCTGACTGGAAGGTGAGAATTCTACCATCGAGCCAAGCATACAAGTCAGGGCAGGAGCAAGACAATGCTTCCCCTTGATTCTCAGCCTTTCCAGACTGCTTTTGGGGTATCACAGCAGAGGAAGGCACTTTCATATGCCAGCTATAATTTTTATTTCTGTAATCTACTGTAACAAATGTGCCAAAACTGTATTTCATGTTCTGTTTTCACCTAACGATGACTAAAGTTGTCAAGGATTTCACTTTACTTGAGTCCACAATAAACACCCATGGCAGTAGCAGTCAAGAAATCAAGACGCGAAGAGAAAGAGAGTAGCAGATTGGATAAAAAAACAAAATCCATCAATATGTTGTCTACAAGAGACACACCTGAAAAATGAAGATAAAGAAAGGCTAAAAGTAAAAGGGTGGGGGAAAATATACCAAGCAAATGGCAACCAGAAAAAAGCAGGAGTAGCCATATTACTCTCTGATAAAATAAATATCAATGT